ATTGTCCAAGATTAACCTTCAGGGTGGATATAGCTCGCTAGCAGCCTCGCACCGAGGACCTATCCACGTCATCATTTACCCAGAATGCTTTGAAAATAAAATGACCCCGTCCGTGTAATATATTTTTAAACTTTTAGTTTAAAAATTGTAAAAACTAAACATCCTACAGTATTTTTACAGTCTTTATTTTACAGTTAAAATATATTTTTATTAAATAAAGTCTAATGTTCCAACTAATCGTGGATCCCTTTAAAATGTTAATTGACCGAATCGGGATTGTACGTTGTGAGTTCAGCTAAACTTAAAACTGATTTTACTGCAACCAATTGCATAAAGACGTTTATTACATTAAATTAATAATAATAATAATAATAAATAATAAAAATAGCAGCAAAAATGTTTTAAATTATGGTTGTACTGGGGTTTGGCTACATTATTTGTTCATGCAAATTTCAGGTGCATGTTGTGCACTTAAAACAATTAAATACTGCAGCTTTTACTCTGACCAGCAGAGAAAAGAAAAGAAAAAGAAACAAAAATTGGTGTAAAATCATAAAAAAAAATAAAACAAACAAACAAAAACAGTTTTTTTTTCTCTCTAACTCATCATGGAATACATTCAGGCTGTAAGTTAAACATTTAGACACTTAAATATAAAAAAAAACAGCACAAAACAGACAACAACATTCTTGTACTTTTACAGTATTTTCACATTGATGGGGGGGAACGTTCAGGAAGAGCACACTCCAGCAAAGTTTATGCTAAATTTGACATGTCCCAGTGTACACACAAGTTTGAATTGAAGCTCCCTCCCCTCCCACAGCCCTCGTCCCACTAAATGCTGGGATGTGAGGGGGCCACCAACATGCAAGAGATGAAACCCACCCGAAACGTTACACAGTCTTAAGATCATGCTTTTAGCACAGGAAACCAAACAACCAGGAACAAAAACTGCAACACGCTGAAAGAAAATGAACATTTCGAACACTGACTTGACTGGTTCAACAGCAAGGAGTCACAAAAACAAAGAATCACAGACAGGTTTGGTGTCATTGTGGCGTTAAGTCTCCATGAACACATAAACGACCTGCACACAGTTGGCTATCCTGCACTTTCTCCTTCATTCCTCCTTAAGAAGGCTATAAGCAACATAAAAAAAATGAATTTAAGCATCTAAATCTTTGATATGCTTGCCGATGAATGTCCGTGTTACATTCACACCACAAAACAAAGACTCACTCCATCGTTACGTCACAGATTCAACAAACTCGGTGTGGAAACCCTGTCATGCTACATTACAGAAGGCTGCTGTAATTCTCTGGCAAAGGAAACAAAAAAGTACTGTAAATCTATTTTACACTTATCGAATGGCAATGACAGCTGTCAACACTCATCACTAACGTTCAACAGCTTCCCACATTAATAAAAGCATGCTACTTTACTTTCTTTCCTTTTTTTTTTAACCAGAAAAGCTGCTCTTAATTTGTGCTTTTTCTGGGGACATCATTAACATCTGCCCTGCTTTAGTTTGAAAACTAAAAGAATTAGAAACTTTCACAGGCGATCACTTGTTCTGGATGATATGCAGCTGGTTGGCTCTAATGTAAAACACGAGCTTCTAATCCTTAACTTTAAACTAGAATACATCCTGATGAGAGGTCAGCTTTACTCCTAAAGCTCTTCTTGATGAGTCCTATTAATGTATTCCTGCCCTGATTTACCTTTTCTCCTAATCTAACAAAAAATAAATAAATCTTTTACAAAGTTCTGTAAGACTTCTTGATTTTTGCTAACATTTCTCTTCAATAGTCCAGAAAGTAAGATATCTGTGAAAGAACTGAGAAGGAAAAAGGTGATAAACTCTATCTGTGATTGAGATGAGATTGGATGAATGTTCCTCCCGTGATAAGGTTGAACTGCCACTCTCTTTCCCCATCGGCTTGTGCAGAAGGGCACTGAGAACTGCAGCTACCACCTCCCTCCCTCCCTCCCTCCCTCCCCGTCCACCAGGTCGGGGAGGGGTCTGCACCCTTTCCCCCCCAAGTTAAGGGTGACGTTCCCTGGGATGGTTCCCTGTAATGTCTCCCACAGTGAAGGACCTGTGCAGAGGAGGAAAGCCCATTTTAGGATGCAGTTCACTTTAGTTGAATCCATTGTTTCTTATTAAAAGCTGAACTGAGCGAGTTCTGTAAAACACTGACCCCATGATGAGGCACGATGCTGGGGGGGGGAGTGCTACACCCCATAAAAGGTGGCCAGTCGTTCCTTCAGCGGCAATGGGAACTGATCTGAGAAGCGCCTCCAGTTCTCTTCTCCCACCTGGTTCTTGAACCCGTGAAGGATCTGGAAATAAACACCAACAGTTCACGCCAGCATCTAATGACATCTCAGCAGACTGTGACTGTTGGAGACTAGTTGGCGAAGTAAAACTCTGAAAGAAAAGGTGATTTTTTTTTTCTTTTTTGCAGTCTAGCTGGATTCTGTTCGTGGTCACGTGTTGCAAAGTCAGTTTTTGAAAGCCTCACCCAATTTTTGTGTGCACAGCTTGTGAAACTGGATTCTAGGCTGTGGCTGTTATTTAGTTTCCCAGCTCCAGCCACACCACAGCCTCCTGGGCCTGCTTTGTACCCACCTTTAGCAGCTGTAGCTGGACTGATGACGACACTGCTGTCAACAGCAGAGCTGAGGGAGGAAAGCTCCCGTGACGCTTAAAGGAAGCTTGTTCCAGCTGTTGCTCAGCTGTTCAGCTGAGCAACTACAGAGCCTGAGCCTTCACGCTAGCACCAATGCTATATTGCCTTATATGTATTAGCTCGGTGCTAGTGTGACAAACAAGCTAAACTGAGGTCCTCCATCCATATTTTCAGTTGCAGCTGAGTCATTTTTGTGTTCCCCTCTCTGTCATGTGGATGGAGGACCTCAGTGATGAGAGGAGAATGTGTAGCTCTGAGCTAATACATATATATGGTGATAGAGTCGGGGCTAATGCTAAAGCTAACAGGCTAATCTGAGGTTGTTCTTCCATGAAGCAGCTCTGTTGTCCTCCATCCATATTTTCAGTTCCAGGCTGAGTCATTTCTACCTTCTCCTCTCTGTCAACGCTCTCTGGTTTCATTTAAAAGAGTCGATCATCAGATATTGTCCAAGATTAACCTTCAGGGTGGATATAGCTCGCTAGCAGCCTCGCACCGAGGACCTATCCACGTCATCATTTACCTAGAATGCTTTGCATGTAAATAAAATGGCCCCATCCGTGTAATATAATATATTTTTAAACTTTTAGTTTAAAAATGATAAAAACTGAACATCCTACAGTATTTTTACAGTCTTTATTTTACAGTTAAAATATTTTTATCAAATAAAGTCTAATGTTACAACTAATCGGGGATCCCTTTAAGTGTTGTTCGCCAAATGCTATCCAACAGTCGCAGTCCAACGAGAACCTGGATTGAAGGAGGATTTTAAAACACATGGAAGGATTATTATTAGTGACAAGTGTAAGCCCAATTTATTTTTACAAGGCACTGTGAACGGTGAAACACAGAGGTGCACTGAGAAGAGGGTGCAGGAAATGCCAGACTGTGCAATAAAGTCAGTGATAAATGTGGAAGTCAGCCCAAAACAATTCATTCTGTGGAGGACGGACTCAAAGCAACAGTTGAAACTGCACCGCTGGGATGTTTTTTTGCAGTCATATTTCAGAATAAAATCTGCACATTTTTGTGTGGATGCATATGCTGCATATTGTGATCTGCTACCCAAACAGAATGATAAACCGTGACAGCATGTCACGGGATCAGTGTCATTTTGGTGAATGGCTATGCGCATGCTGCCACCCTGCGGACGCAGTGTAAATCCCAGCGGGTTCTAGTGTTATCAGTCCATTAAATGGACGTTTTTAGCGGTTATCAGTCCCATAGAATGGCTTCAGACTGTCCAGACAGTGCCCCCTAGTGGGTTAATATATCAATGACATTGAATGTGTAAATAACCTAGACATATTTTAATAAATTTTTTGTCCAGGGGTGGGGTGGGGGTTTCTCGCCCTTTTCTTACTACCCGTGCCTGGTCTCGATCCTTGCTCTCCCGCTCTCTGGTCCAGCGCTCTACCCATAGCCCTACAATAACAGTCTACTTTATTGAAGCCCATGTCATTTTCTCTAAAATTAACCTTAGTGGCTTTATGCCTCTTACTAACCAGCCGGTTCTGACGTTATCAGTCCATTCTATGGGACGGAGAACCCACTAGGAGCCACAGTCGGGACATCCTGAAGCCATTCTATGGGACTGATAACTACTAATAACATCCATTTAATGGATGATAACATCCGAAGTGGGAGCGTAAATCCTCACATTGGGCCTCATGCAAGAACCGTTCGTACGCACAGGTTTGTTCTTAAGTTGTGCGTACGAGTGATTTAGGAGAATTTGTGACATTCACCAATGTTTTCATATTCTAAGATTTTTTTCAGATACGAACAAAATTCAGGAGTGGTCCAGACCTGTCGTATATTTTACCAGCAGTCAGTCTGCTGTTATCTATGGAGAGCCATTTCATTCAGGATACAATAAATAATGAAATAATGGAAGAAATAATGTAATTAATAAAGTATTAATATTTCATCAAATACATAAATG